TTCAGCCATTCTCCCTCATATCGATCTCCATTGCCATAGACCATAACACCATGTCCAGTTAATTCACCTCGAACAAACTGTCCAGTATACTCATTCCTGGACGACGCCCAGCGACGAAAACCATGACCTTGGATTTCTCCATCGTTAAACTGACCCTCATAAAAACTGCCATCTCCCATGAGAAGTTTACCATGGCCTGCATTGAATACATGTACATGTACATGACAAAAAGAAAAAAGTTTGCAATGAGAAGAATGAAAAAGTTTACAAGAATGTTTCAAAAMAATACATAATTTACAAATGGATAAGCTTTAAGGGACACTGTCAATGGATGATATGCGCAGTAACAGTCTCACCTCTAACGGACTTTGAAAGTATTACCTTCAAGGTAAATCATTTTGTGGTGCTTTTGACAAACTTTGGAATATTCTAGATCTGTTTACGTTTACGAGTTGATTTATGTCGCGCCAACTTGGAGTCAGAAACTTGAAAACATTAGCCTAGTGTTTTCAAGTTTACTCGCGCATGCGCGCCATTGACAGTGTCCCTTTAAATAAACAAGAAAAAAAAGCAAAAAAAAAAAACCTTATACAATTCTAGATTTAAAATAAAGGCATTTCTTCAAAGCAGTCCCTCTCGGCTCGTTGTAGTTCTGAACCAGAGAAAGCACTCGATATCAATTTTCAAATTACCATGTTTCTTTCCTTTGCTCCATTCACCTTCGTATCTAAAGAACTTATTCGTATAGTTATAAACACCAAAACCTAGAAAAAACAACAACAAAATGTCATGTACATGTAGCGATTGTCAAGAGATTGTCTCCGCGAAATAACTAGTTTACCGTCTCTGAGTTGCTTTCTTGTTTCTCCTATATAGTTTCCAGCTCCTTTTGAGGTCGTAGTATTCATTAAAGTAGCCATTTGTAGCTGGAAAAGGCTAAAACCCCTAAACTCAACTGATATCCGCCATATTGTTGTTGAAGACAGTTGCTATGCAATATTTGACTTAGTGGGGAGGGGTAGAAATAGCAAATATYTCCAAAMAAATGTGAATTAAGCATACATAAATTGAGAATCGCATTAAAAAGTATTTAGTAAAACTATATATCTTGAAATACTTACATAATTTTATGGTTTTTGATCTATAAACTCTCTAAGCATTATCGAATGTTTGACAATTTACATCTCTACCCCCTGGTTAGGAATGTTTTTGTAAACGGTCAGCGGAGATCAATCAAAATTCAAAATGGCGGACGACATTTTGGAAGAATTTGCTTTTTCTCGGGAATCCCATTAAAATTTGTATATTTAAAAGAGAAATCTGGCGATTTAAGGTATTCAGAGCTGCAATTTATAAACAAGACTAGCATTTTATGTGGTGTTTGAGAAGAAAAGAATAATTCCAGAGCATACAGAATCAAATTCGTTTGTGCATYAATGGATGTCAGAAGCGACTGCTCGGAAACTCTCTTAGGAACATGTCAAGCGATGTGTTCCTCGGCAGAACATCAAGAAAGACAACAGCAAAGAAGACTTAGTGTTTTCGAAACACCATCGAGCTCACACAAAAACCTACCAGTAAAAGAATACTCGAGATGCGCTGCTGGAAAACAAACGAGTCTTTCTGAACTTCGACCCGAAGGAGTTCTTGTCAAAACTATGAACTATCTCATTGACGAGATCGTTGACCGCACTGATCATCCTTGGTCTACTGTTTATCATTTTGTTTTTGATCGAATAAGAGCCATACGACAAGACTTGGTCATTCAAAGAATAGCGAATGAATCCACGGTAGAAATTTTAGAAAAAGCTGTGAGGTTTCATATATT